AACATGACTCCAAGATCTGGGTTGTCATCTGTGGTGAGCTATATAATTATAACTCATGAGGGAGTAGTCTTCATTGTTTTACCTACAAAGCCTTGTAGACAAAAGGGCAAGAGATGGATTTCCTATAGCTCAAAAAACAATGTCATTACCAAATAAAGGAAAATAATTTGGGTAGATGCATTGGTCATACTTAGCCAAGCTCCATGAGGAAATTACTTTCAGCTAAGGAAAAGGTCTTAGATCAGCATATTGATACAGGAGAGCAAACTTTTGCTCTTTAGAGACAGCATTCTTGGGTGAGAAACATCACTGAGGCAGAACTTCAGCCAGGCAAGGAGTGCTTGGTCAAGTTGTAATCTGTTTTCTATGTCATCCATGATACAATGGATGCAGATGTCTCCTTTTCTCTCTCCTTGATCTTGCAGTACAGATTTTCAGTGGAAATCTCACAGAGTATGATGTACAGCAAGAGAAAATACTTACCAACACTTAGCCATGGCCACTTGAGGAAGAGTACAAAAGAAATAGACAACATAAGTTCTTTACACAATGAATATCAACATGACTTAAAATTAAATAAGATGGCAATAGAGGGGGGTAAAGCAATAGTGTGCCATTCATTGCTTGTGTCAGTTTTTTACAATCCAAGTTTTTGAGCCAGTATCACCTAATTTTGACTATCTTCCCAAGTACTGAATCCAATCAATCTGTCATCAAATATTTATAGTATGCTATGTGTTAGATAGAAGTCTTCATTATAAAGGGAAGATTTGATTTGAGGAACCTTACCAAAATCCTTTGTATCAAAGTCAGATGAGTAAGGTGGCCAATCAGGATAAAATCCCAGTGCAGTTATGAAATGGGATTTGTTTTTTGGACCTGAAAACTGTGAAGCATAAAACTTTAAACAACTGGGAAAAAGAAAATGTCAAAAAGGCGCCTTACAGAAGAGAAGGTTCCTGACTTCCCAGAGCTAGCTTGAAGGGAGTGCCACTTTTGGGTGCTTCTATTTCCCTGCACATAGCATCCTCTCCCTTGCACTTCAACCTAGCAGGGTCGACTAAATATGGAAGAGACAAAATTGCTCTAGTAATTCAAAGGATACTGAAATCATTATGGGATAGAGTGATCAGACCAGGCCTTTCTAAAGCTGTGACCCCAGGATGTATAGGAAATCTCACATTACCGAAGGACTTATGTCTAACACTCAGAACCCACTTTTGTAAAATGAGTATGGATTTATAATCCCACCTCTAGGGAGATGGAGACAGGCAGACTCCTGAGGTTCACCGGCCAGCTAACCTAGATGATATGTGACCTTATTCCTAGAAAGACCTGAATATGTTTCCTCACTCCAAGGGAAGAACTAATGACAGACAAAAGTAAGGATACCACCCAAATCCAACTTGGTAAACTAATGTGCTCCATTGGGCTTACTTACAGGACTATGGGTGAGAGGTTAGTTATGGGAACAGAAATGATTCACTGTATCACCAAAGTTCCACCCCCAGCATGGGTAACAGCTCACAAAAATCTGGAAATCTGGAGCTCACTGTACAATCTGCAGGCAACTCAGCAGGTTGAAGAGTGTCTTTTGCAGATGGCTCGCTTAGTCTAAGCATCTTCTAAGCACCTCCTCTGACCTCTGCCTCTTCTGTGCAGCTCAGCTGGTCTGCTTTATTCAGGATGCTTGGCTCGTCTGAGCCTCTTCTAAGAAGTTGGGCTTGTCTGAATGTCTCTCAGCAATCTTTACTACTTGCATAAACACGATGAGGCAGGGACCTAGTGAATCTGGCAAGTTTCAGGGACTTCCTAAAGCATCTGAGTTGCTTACTTCCCCAGTCGCAGGAGATTCTGCCTTTCATGTGTGCTAAGTCTTAAGCTTCCCTGAAGGATTCAAGGGGTCATCTCCCTTTGAAACATACTGAGCCTGCCTGTGCTTCTCTCTAAGAGGGAATATTTCAGTTTAGAGGAAATTGCTACAGAAAACACACACAATATAATATAAAACATAGTATGATATGTTACATGTATTATAGAACATATATTGTAAACATACATGTATCTGTATAATATATGTAAGTACTTTTTATAAAAATTAATAACACATTTGCCTGCTAACTAGATATATAGCCTTAGATATCCTCCATAACATGTTAGCAATGTGTGCATTTAGGATAACAAGGATAAAATTGTCCTTAGTTCCCAAAACCATTATTCACTTCAGAATGTGTGTGTGTGTGTATACATATACATACATATATATATATATATATATATATATATATATATATATAAATGGAAGTAAAAATAACAATAGCAATAATTTAAATAATAATCATAAAGTCAAATAACAAAGACTTGGGGAGTGGTGCGGCATCATGGTATAAAATGAAGAAGAGAAAGTCAGCTGCCAAATAGGATTATAAGAAAAACTTTCAGTCTCCTCCATTCAGTTGTTTGAGGAGAAAAGACCAGTCTAGCTTCATAGTGTTTTTACCAGGAATTTAAAAAGAAAACATGCCCTTTAAAAGTGGGATTTCATTTCTTGCTTTTATTTCACAAGGGTTAGTCACTCCAGAATCTGTGCCCTGGGAAAAGTAATTCATTTGGGCTAGGATGAGCCCAGTGTTCTCTATACAGAGCAAAGCCTGGGCTGAATGCTCAGGTGCAGCAGCACAGACCTGTGTGTGCCCTATGTTTAGAGGAATGAAACCCTCACACCAAGGTATTGGAAAATACAATTGCCACAGACACTCTGTCCTTGACTCTGTTACTGGCAAAATCCTGAGTCTAGTCCATATGGACTGATGCTCAGACCAAAGGTGAGATACTGCACTCTGTCTCCTGGGTAGAGGCAACTGTCACCCTCTCCAGGACTTTCCTACTCTGTCAGCAAGGTTGGAGAGGTATGAAGTCTAATTTTTTAGACATGTATGACTGCTCTGCTTACATGTTTGTCTGTGCACCATGTACCAGCCTAGTGCCCATGGAAGTCTGCAGATGGCATTGCATCTCCTAGAACTGGAGGTACAGATCGTTTCAAGCTGCCAGTAGATGCTGGGGATCCAACCCAGATCCTCTGTAAAAACAATGAGTGCTCTTAACTGCTGAGCCATCTCTTCAGCCCTGAGAGTTGTTAATTTTAGAGATGGTTATGTTAGTTCAACTTTCCAAAGTCGGGAATGGCAGGGAGCAGAGTATATATAGCACAGGCTTTCTTCCAATACAGCCACGGAAGGTCCCCCACCTAGTTCTGGAAGATATGGTTTTGTTTCTGTCCTCTCTCCACATAAATAGCATTTCTTGGTTGCACTGGGCTGTCAGCTGGAGGCCAATTTTTGCCATTTAGAGAAGTGGATGTTTTCATGTCTATAGAACTGCATAGAGATGCCGTGTTGTTTCATGGACACCCTGTGTTGTGAATACCTGGGAGTCTGAAACACAGCACTTCCCTGCAGCGATGGAACAATTCTAACTCATCTTCCTGCTCCCACCCTGCTATTGCCAAGGTTTAATTTGTTTGACTCATTTGTATGCCAGTGTCTTTAGGATTAAGAAGGAATAAGAACTCTAGCCCCTCTCTAGCTTCCCACAGCTTCCACTCTGTTCCTGGCAGTAGAAGATGATGAGACCACAGTGCCATTGCTTGTGGCAACACCTCAGAATGGCAGGAGCTTATTACTAGCCAATTTGAGGTGCATTCTGATCTAACTTAATTCCAGATTAGACATCTGGCTCTTTAGTAGTGCCAGAAGCTCTTGCTTGAACCTTTTCCAGATCCACAAAGGCATCTAATATTTCTTAGGATTGGGTCTCCCCTCCCCACACAGAGACCATACTTCAGAATTTGTTTTCATGAACTGAAAACTAAATTAACAGGTTGTCTAAGCCCCATGCTGTCTATGTTCTAAAAACATCTGTTAGCTATGACAATTAAGATGGTATCTACTTGTCCAAGTTGTTTCAATGGGAAGTGTAGAAACACACTAAGAGTTGATCCCACTCCTGGTAATGGATATCCTTGGGGAGTGATAGTTCTCTGCACCCTACATTATTGTGCACCAGAGCACTGTCTACTTTCATAAACTAGTTTTTCCCTGAATCATAGCAGACATCCATCCTTAAGGTATCCTCTGAGCCAAATCTCATCTCTGCCTGCACTCTCCAACAGCTTTGCCTCAATCAGAGGGCAAACAAGTTGATTACCTAGTTACAGCTCAGAGAGAATGAATTTTTTATTCTCCTCTTAATAGTTTGGACACTTTGTCATTCTCTCTATCTACCCATCAATCTGTCAGGTGACTAGATTAAGTACCAGTCACCAGAGGGACCATGTTTCTCTAGTAAGAACTTATTATGTACTGAAGATACATAGTCCACCTATCAGGCAGGTAGCAGGTAAGGGCTGCTAAGAGCTTTTAAAGGTAATCTACTGTTTTCATTCTCCCTTCCCCATCCTACCTAAGTCTGCTGTGTGTCCATCTTCACTTATTCTCTGTACCTGTCACAAGTTATTTCATGTTAATGATCTTCTCCTCTGTGTCACTCCTTCTCTCTTATTATCTGGCTCTCCCTGCCCTTTACTTGGCTTCCTGAAATTCATCTCTGTACTTCCAACATCATTTCTTTACTTTGGTGGTACAATCTAAAAACCACATAAAAATCTAATAAGAATACATCCTTCTTCCTAACAGAATTTTCATTCTATTTTGAAAAGTGTTAAATCTGACTTTATTGATTACCTGAAAGATGGATTTCTCTCCTTATAAAATTTATAGTAATGTATTTATAGAGCTTATTAACCACTTCTGGTTTTGGTTAGAGAAATTCATGCCTTATGTGTAGGTTAGTCTCAAGATCTCTATAATATTGAACATTCAAAGGCCAAGAGTAGGCTCTACTCATTTTTTTAACTTCCTAAATGTCAAGGTGGGTCTGTTACATAGAATAAGATGTGTTTCTATTGAGTTGGCAGGCACCAAGGCAGAATAGTGTGACTACTGAGTTGGGGTAACAGTCTGACTTCCCAGACTATGGGGTAGCAAATAAAAAAATGGCTCACAGCTTACTTGTAATTTTTTTTAATTTCAGGAATCATCTAACTTTTGCAACATAAATAAGCAACTACATTCATGATACACATAGATGAGATGGGCTTACCCATCTTGATTGACAAACCATATTTCAGATGGACTTATTCATTCCCTGTCTTTCCAATATGCATCAAATGCTAGTATGTCTTGGTGATCATGTTTGCCCCCTGTCTTTCAGATTTCCCATTTGTAAAAAACAGAAACCACTATTCAATGGGAACACATGCTTTCATATCAGGTGCAATGATAGGCATTGATTCTAACTCTTACAATAGTAAAATAAGATGGTTTTGTTTCCAAATAAAGATCAATTGCAGACAGACAACTGCTAAAGTTCTCACTGCAGAACAGTATTTGACCTCTACTCATATGAGGGGTCAGGGATCACCATCACTGGGGCTCTCAATTTGGTTAGCTTTTGCTGTACTCCTCATCTAGGACACAAAGGAGAATCTGCTGTGCCTGCCCTAGCCCCCAAGCAGAGTTTCTGCATCCTGCACTGGTCCTCGTTTCCCTTTGTCTTTAGCTGAAGTTTCTCTTACTTATTGCCTCCTCGGCTAGCAAATTTAATCTTGCTCTATATTGTATTCTGGCAATGTTGCACTCCAATCTGTGTAGAGAATGAGGGGCAATATGGTTCGCTAATGAGAAAATCTACATCTCACAGACAGGACCTATTTGTTCTCGGTTGCTTGAAAATTGTTGACCATAGGCAAGAGCCTGTCTGCTTTTGCTGTGGTGCACACTCTGTTCTTCACTCCCTTGTGGGGTGGTGAAATGCTGGGATTTCAGCTCGCACATACTGGGCTTTTGATTCAAGCCTCCCTGGGGAGTGGATGGGAGTTCTGTGAAGGATATGGGAGGGTGGGATGGAGAGGGAACAGGAAATAATTTAAAAAAAAAAGATGTTACTGCTTAGTGCCAACTTAGTGCCTGGTCTTCCTTGAAGTTGGTGGCCCTGTTTCAGCAGATATTTGTAATTGATTGTAATTAAGTAAACGATTCGTTTGAAGTGACTCCACATTTTTGTACACTACACACTTGAAAACAGTAACTGGGATGCTGGAAACATTTTCTACGTGACAAATGCTAGTGCTTTTAGTCTGAATCACTTTTCTTCTGAAGTAAAGGAATTTAGTTTTAATTTTTCAAGAAAACGTTCCACTAAGAAGCTGTGAGGATGGCACTGTTGGTACAGTGCTTGGTGCAGGCGTGAATACCTGAGTTCAGATCATCTTCAGCACCCATCTAAAGACTGGGCTTGGTGGCACCCATCTGATGATGCCATGGGGAACGTGAAGACAGGAGGTACTTTGGGACATGCTTGTCATCTGGTCCAGCTGAATTGGTGATCTCCAGGTTCAGTGAGAGCTCAAAAATCACAGAATAGGGTAGAAAGTAAGTAAGGAAGCCAGGAAGATACCTGATATGAACTGACTCCTACATGTAAATGCACATACTCATACATACACACAGGGACACTCAAACATGTATACAACACACACACACACACACACACACACACACACACAGAGAGAGAGACATACATATACACACACAGAGACACACACAGAGACACACACACACATACAGACACACACACACAGACACACACACACAATTCTCTACTAGAAGTGAATACAATTTCATCATTTGGCATGATAAAAGCATGTTATTTTGCCAGGCAGTGGGGGTACACACCTTTAATCCCAGAACTTGGGAAGCAGAGGCAGGCAGATCCCAGTGAGTTTGAGGTCAGCCTGGTGTACAAAATGAGTTCCAGGACATCCAGGACTGTTACACAGAAAAAACCTGACTCAAAAACAAACAAAACCCAAACGAAAGCCTGTTATTTTGGTGAATCACAGGACTCAGGGGTGTTCCTGTGCAGACAAGATGGTGTAGGCTTGGACTTAGATGCCTTGTGATCATAGGAACCCTGTTCTCTCACTAGCTTCCATCTCCTCTACTGATAAAGGAATGATATTTTATCTCTCATAGAGGGGTCATCCAGGATGAACTGAGCTAGGACATCAAAGGGACCACTACATAGTCAGTTGTTTCTGTCTTTCCTGACATGGAAATCATTTTGTTCGGGATGAGTCTTGGACAACCTCTTGCAGGTTCTAGTGTTTTATCTATACCTGCTGATGTGATATGGACAGAAATATCCAGTATTAATTTTTACTTCATTTCGTTTGTTTCTAAAAGGATAGTCTGTGCACTTTGCGTAGAGTTTAGATAAGAAAAAAACCCACAATTTCTTGACTAAGATTCTCTATTAAGGTCATGCATCAGAGTAAGTGTTGGCAGTTCCTACATAGTGATTCGAAAGGAATCTGATGACATGTAAAAGATGTTCTCTTGTCAGTCTTCATCCTTCTACAGTGAGCAAACATCAAAGACCATGCCTTCAAACCGACTCAGGCACCTTCCCAACTTTAAAAATCAGCAAATGAAAGAGATTACACAAATCAAAACTCGTCTGAAATAGTATTTTGGTTGTCATGATTTCAAATGCAGTTTTATCACTTTGTAAGGTTAAAATGTACAGTTTTGTTTTTACCTTATTTGAAAGTAGTATGTGACTGATTGAATATTCTATCTACATTAATATCTAACAAAGAATAACAGCAGTTCCCATCTACTAACGAAAAGCAAGAACCAGCAAGAAGCTCTCCCCATCAGTCATTATACAGATGCTGAAATACCACAGACAGAATAAGGGTAACACTAGCCCTGGATTAGCGGCAATATTGCACTTACCAATCAGCATTGTTTATGGGGTACACATCCAGAGTGGGCTGAAGGAGTTTGAGGAAGATGGTATTTATCCATAATTGCTTCTATTTTCTGTTTCCAAATCAAACGTGCACTGTGGAAATTTTTTTCCTAGAACAGTTTCACGATGCCACCAAATGCTTCTTGTATATCCCAGCTTTTTTCTCTCTTTCGAATCAGCAGCCCTGAGATTATGACACCTGAGATTTGGCCCAGGAGGACTCCCTAGAAATCAAGTGACATCTGAAGAAGTGTCACTTTGAAAAAAATAAGTCATTATATATCATATAATAAATAAATGTATGATTAACAAATATGCTTAAACCCTTTGGGAGACAGGACTGTGAGGATGGTATGATCATCCTTTGATATGTCCGGTTAATCTCCTCTGTTGCAAATCTTTCTCTGTCTCACTGGTCAGTTTCTAAATCACAACATGTAGACAATTTATTAATTATAAAAACTGGACCATAGCCTAGGCTTGTTGCTAACTAGGTCTTATAACTTAAATTAACCCATTTCTATTAATCCATGTATTGTCATATGGCTGTGACTTTATCTGTCCTCCAATATGTCTGGCTTCTCTGAGTCTGCTTTTGATTCTGCCTGTCTTCTTCCCAGCATCTTCTGTGTCTGTCTGTCCTGCCTTTACCTCTTGCCTAGCTAATGGCTGTTACTATAAATCTTTTTGCCAAAAGCCGCCTGAGCCCCACCGCCACGTGTGAGCTTTACGACAGCCGCCCGCCCGAGTTAGGCCCAAATGAACACACAGAGAAACTTGTATTAGTTACAAAGCTGCTTGGCCAATGACTAGGATTCTCATTTGTTAGCTCAGTCTCAATTACCATACATCTATATATTTTATGGGACTTATCCTATCGGACGCTTTATTGGTGTCCCTCCTTGCTGGTGAATCACATCATGCCATTGGAGCAGGAGCCGAGGGGAAAAGAGAGCGACACTTCTTTTTCCTCTTCTTAAATGTGAGTCTCCTTTCTATGTCACTTCCTGTCTGGAACATCACTTCTCTACTACATTTCCCAGAATCCTCTTTGACTCCTAGTCCAGCCTAACCTGCTGTCTCATTGGCCAAGCAAGTACTTTATTTATAAACATACACAGAAGTATTTCCCCCATCAAATGGCCATTTAACTTTTTTATTAAACCAGTAAGAAAGTTCCTGGGCAAAGACAAATCTTCACAGTATACAAAAAGATTACTACACAACATATCCCCCTTTTGTCTAAATAAAAAGGAAAGGGATTAATTCTAACACAGTTAAACCACAAATAATAAGAGCAATTATCAGGTAAGAATTACATTCACAATGTTAAATCCATTTTTATTTTGCAATTTAGAAGAAAATGCTACATTATTTATCCTATCTTGATGAGTCCAAAGTTCTGTACCTAATTTACCTTCTATCATAATTAAGTAAAACTATAACCATAACTGACTAGTCTTCAACTCCATCAAAGACACCAGAAGGATATAGTATTACCTGAGTAAGCAGGAAGTGCAGTGTAAACCACTTCAAAACAACAGAGACATCTGGCTGCCTAGACAGTCACCCACAGTGTCTCTGCAACATTAGCGCATACATTTTCAACCTACAGGCCTAGAATATCTGACAGACCTTTCTGTGAAGCAGGAATTTTTGAAGGATTATCCTACCCTGTCTTGAAAAAGTTTAGCAGTCACTTTCTTTTGTGTTCTGCTTGTCCAGTTTACATAGCATATTGTCAGTAGTCAAGACAAGGGGAGTTTCTTGCCCAAAAGGCTAGCTTTTTCCACAAAAAAAAAAAAGACAAAGTCCATATGTAGTCTTTGATACCCATCATCCTTTTTTGAAGTAAATCGGTGCTGCCAGGAGCAGACATGTCTCATTGTCAAGAAAATCCTTATGTTATTAAAACATTTTAAATGTCATATTCTGTATGTCTTTGAAATATTTCAAGACCACCTATCGAAATATATTTCTGTAGGACCTGGAAAACATAGGTAATATGACTATAAGTTTGATTGTTATAGATGACTAACTACTATCCTGAATTTTTTAATATCTTAAATCACTTTTAAAGACTAAAACTTTACATAACCTTTTCAAATGACATGAATTATCATCTAAATCCAGTCATTTCTGAATACACCAGTTTGCATCTCAGAGTCCTTAATGTAAAAGATTTTCCTAGATTATTTTTTCTTATTCATTCAATGCATATTTATAGAGCTCTGCCCACACTCCTTATGAGTAAATAACCAGAAAATGCCCCTTCATAATCACTAAGCATAACCTCACAGAATGGATACCATGACAATAAGGTATAGAGCATATTAAAAGGGAAAAAAATCAAATTACAGTGAAAAGCATTAAGTATTCCATTTTCAAAGATGACATTTAACTTTTAAATGTCCTTTACACTGACACCCTTCTGTTGGGAAGAAGCATAGTGCACCCTGGAAGCAACAGACCTCTTGCAAAAGTAGCATGGGAAAAGCTATAAACTAAAAGGAAGAGAACAGGTACCACAGCAAGCATCCCTTCTCAAACAAGCCTTCCTTCTGTTGGCTTCCTGCCGTTCATTCAGCCATCTCCCTACAGAGATGTCCAAGTCACTAACACTGCATGTCTCTGCTCAAGTTAGTTCTCATAGATCTGATATGCCCTCAGTTCTAAAGGATAAATGACTGTTTACAACAGTATACATGCTCTTTAAAACAATGAATATTTAATAAGAACATTGAAACTGACTGTAGGTTATGGGGGAGTTCTCATATGTAAGTTTCTTTTCTCTGATAATAAGGCCACAACTGTCCCCATGAATGAGGTTGCCTGGTGGTAACAAAATACAACATTTTAATGGTGCATACCCAAAAGCAGACAACATACATACAGTAAGGAGTTATGTGAAGGAAGAAAGACATGGGATATAATAAATAATCAGAGTATAAGATAATAAAAACACCCTATAGTCATTGTAAAACAGGTGGGTAGCAATTGGTTTAAGAAAGGACCTGGCAAAACTACTCTTCAGAAATGAGCTTTGTTGGGAGAGAGGGCACTGATGCCACAGCCATGATGGACCTTTGCAGTGGGAGAACATTAAAAGAGGAACAATATTTTGTATCAGAGACAAGATGGCTAGGCCTTACAGGTAGGATGAGGTGTCCCTTCAAAACCTGAAGAGGATCTCCATTAAAAGGGTTAGCTTATAATCAAAGAGAAATAGCTGCTGTTGACAGAATGATGGCTGTGCGAGAAGACCTACCAAAGGGCCTTCAGAAAAATCTCCTGTATGAAAGGAAATATCTGACTTTTATATCTTCTTAGGAGATGGCAGGATGTTCAACACCATGTGATTAACTTCAACACACATAGCCTACGTAATAAAGACGATGGGGGAGTTAGATTTCATTAGTTGTTAGGCCACAGCAAAGAAGAACTTCTTAACTCTATTAGACAGAGAGAGAGAGAGAGAGAGAGAGAGAGAGAGAGAGAGAGAGAGAGAGAGAGAGAGTGTGGAGAGAAAAGAGAGAGAGGGCACAGGGGACATGGACTGATTTCTTTGGACTGTGAGATCTAAAAATCATCTGACTCCTACAATGGGATGGAGAAACTAGACCAAAAAATCCAGGACCTTTCAGTCTTCGCTTGTTAGAATAAGAATGTTCCTACAGTGGAATAGAGAAATTAAGCCAAAAATCTGAAGACCATTCAGCTTTCAGTTGTTATAATAAAAAAAAAAAAAAATGTTCTACCATACTGATCTGGGGGCGATCAAGTTTATATAAGAAGTATATACTGTGTTATCACACATTAAGGAGGGTTACCTTGAATTTTGCAGTAATAAAATAACTCGACTAAATTCATTCATAATGGAATACTCAGCTGGCCAGAAAAAGCAAACCAAACAAAACAAAAACACTGCCTTCCTCAAAGCAGCTGATCCAGTCTCCTGACACATCAACGGAATAGCATATACTTGGGATCATTTAGAACAGGAAAGCCTTTTAAGGAGAAAATAGTCACATCCCTACAAAGATACATGGGTCTCACTATTGTGCCAGTAGCATCCGACAGGGTTACCCTTCTGCATCCAATAAAATATAAACAGTTCATTCTCAGAGAAAGAGGAGATGGACATGCGTTCCCCAAACTTCTCAACTAAATTCTGATCACCCAAATAATCCCCTCCCCACCTCTCACTTTTAACCTCCCAGCACCAATTTGGTATAATAGCAACCCTACAATGTTCTTCGTTGAACTGCTACAATTAAAATATTTGTATTCTGCACATGTGAGAAAAGAAGAAAATCTCACTTCAATTACCACAGTTAAGAAGTCTGAAGTAATTTTCCCAGCTAGCGTTTGGCCATTCCGTTGAGATTGAAGGAATCTGGTACAATAATAGTCCTTATTAATTCACCCTCTCTCTCTTCATTTTAAAAGAATATTATAATTCCTTTGTGATGCAAATTGTTTGGGCAGTGTGATGGTGCTGCGCCTTGTGACTAAAAAGTCACAGGCTCCAAGGACAAAGTGTTGCAGAACAATGGCTAACATTTACTGCCTGGCACTTCTGGAAATGTTCTCCTCAAGATAATTTTTATTTCTGATCCACTTTGCTTTTTTTTTTTTTTTCTTTCTTTCTTCTTTTTTTTTTTTTGTCTTTCCCAAAAGGGATTTAAGTTAATTACTTTTTCTAATGTGACTTTGATATTTCAGTTTCCTCAAATCTTCCAAGGAATATGCAGGCAACACACCATCCTAGTTCCTCCATCTTCCCAGGAACTTGATATTAAATATGGGTGTCACACTGGAAAATTCCACCAGAAGAAAAAGCTAAATGATGTATAAAATTTGCATTAGTAACATCTCATTAACTTACCATCTAGAAGGCTTTTAGTACATGATTTTCACCATTCATGACATTGTTTTGGTGTCTTTCTTTGTTGTTTTCTGACATGGTAGTTCTAAACCTTGATAAGTATTAATGACTTCCATCAAAATGATGCAGATAAACTCTCTCTCTCTTTCTCTCTCTCTTTCTCTCTCCCTCCCTCTCTCTCTCTCTCTCTCAAGAAAAAATAAATTAAATCAGATTAATCTATTATTTCTTCCTTACTGCTTTCTCTTTGGAAACAGCTTAAACAGCACATCATTTAATTCACAGAAGTATTTGCCTTGTCCTTTAAAACATTCATATTATGTAATCTACTGACTGTGAAACCAAATAGACCTACCTGTAAACAATTTCAGTTTGGGACAGAAAGAACCTCATTGGGTCAAGGGACTTACTGCTAAGTTTGAAGATTTGAGTTTGATCTTAGGGACTCATTTTTGTTTGTTTGGTTGGTTGGTTGGTTGGTTGGTTGGTTGGCTTGTTTGTTTTGCTTTTTTGAACAAGGTTTCTCTGTGTAGCTATGGCTGTCCTGAAACTTGCTCTGTAGACCAGGCTGGCCCTGAGTGCTGGGATTAAAGGCATGTACCACCACTGCCTGACTGGTCTTAGGGACTCATATGGTAGTATTGAAGAACTTACTTCTCTACACAGAGAAACCCTGTCTCGAAAAAAAAAAAAAAAAAAAAAAAAAACCTATTTCCACAAGTTGTCCTCTGACCTCCATGTGACACAAGCACATACACAAATAAAATTTTAATTTCTTAAAATTATTTTTAGTTACATTTAATTAAGCATAGCACTTTTACAGGCCACCAGGATGCTAATGACTGTGTAAATACATACAGCCACATTCACATTCAAACATGAGGTGTTATAGTAGGTACTTCCAGAGCAAGATTACAAGTTTGGAAATATCTGCTTGAGAATAAAAATAGCCCCATAGATGATGTAAGATAGTATCAAATAAAAGTAGTCCTAACATCTTTTGGCAG